AAATGGCCGAATGGTGGTCATTTTTGTGCTAAAAAATCATCAAATATCAAGCATTTCTGGCATTTATGGATGGATTTCGTTCAAACTTGGTACATACATTAGACATTACAGGTTCCTGATGCACGGCATTTTTTTATTCAGATTGGATTCAAAATGGCTGACTGGCGGCCATTTTGTTTTAATGATTGGGCTTATAGAGCCTACTCTTAAATGCTTTGACTGATTATATTCAAATTTTATATATTCGTTATACATCATGTGATATATATACATGTATTCAAAATGACTGATTTTGAATGCTGTTCCAGAGCAATATCTCTAAATATGGACAATTACTTGTTTGATGATCAGATACAAATGTCAATCATTTTAATGTTAAAAAACCATATTCCTGACATGGTTATATTCCAGCTATATTACTATAAACAAAACTATATTTCTTAAATTTAATAACTAACGGGGACTGTGCCATGCATAGCTTGTTTTTACTATTTTACATTGTTTCAAAAACAGAAATTATAACGCTCCCGTTTGGGAAGAGGAGTATCATCTACTATCTGCTGTAAGGGCCTTCTTTTGTGTCTCCCTGTATTGCCTGTGATGCACTGCATGTGATTAGATTTTTGAAGTCTGATGACATTCTCTTAATACCCAAAAGTTATTTGCTTCTCCTCTGTGCCGATGCTCACTGAAGTGGGTTTCTAGTGGGTCTTGACAGAACCTCTCACTCAATATCAAATCCACTCCATGGTTTAGTAGGAATTTAGACACTTCTACACGGGGAAAAAACAAACAAAAATAAAATCTTAAAATATACCAAAAATCAAAGAGGCCCGTCATCAGATTCAGTTTTGGCGAAACTCGTAAGATAAATTTTAAAATACTAGCATATTAACAATTACTGGAAAACTTTACAGTGAATAACAATTTCACATAAAATACGTGCGACTCAACTCACCAGTCATTTTCAATCCATCAACTATTTGTTTACTAAGTAAGACACAAAGCATTTCTAGCACTCTGAAAATAATAATTTCTACATTTAACATGCGATTGTGAAAAGTCATCACATTCACTAGAGACTTTTTTTCAAATCACTTGTAGTGACACTTGGGCCTCCAAAAACTGTTCTTCTTATGAGGCATGGTTGTTTAGAACTTGTATGACTTCAACAGCTGCACGTTATCGTCTGACAATATAAAAATAAAATAAAAATGTAAATAAAGATACAAAGTTGTATTTCACCGAATATAACGAAACAGCAGATACCCAAACATACCATAACCCCACAACTCATTCGTTAATCTTAATACAACCAGTATTGGGTATTATTATCTAAATCAGATTTGTGTTATTCTCAAAGAAGGAACTGAAACGAGAAACTCTCGTTGATGTATTTATGCACAGTTTGGTATCTAAAATGGCGTCGCGTTGAACCACGAGTTTCGAAAAAAACTTACAGAAGATCTATTTTTCGGGACACAAAGAATCTATAGCAGCACAAAACATCTTTTCACGTGAATGGCACCTTCGAAAGCACATAAAATAGTGAATTTAGTGATCACAACAACATAAAAACACCCGATTTAAAAACCGCGACGCATTATCGCAACAATCGACTATTCTCAGGATGTTCGGCTGTATGTGATTAACCAAGATCAAACAGTTTTCATAAACCCTCCCACTCGAAGCAAATACACTTCCACCCACCAAAACGATGCGAGTTGAAGATTTTGCTAGCATATCAAGCGAGAAAAGGGAACCTAAAAACTACCGACATGTTTTGACAAAATGGAGGTCGGAAAAAGATGGTCAAATTTTCAAGATCGAAAAAAATACGAAATATTTGAAATGAAAGAATGGAAAATAACTCACCTGTTAACTAATGGTATTTCGCTTCCGTAATAACAAAAAATTGTAAAATACATGTAATTTTACAGTTAATTTTTTTTTTTTTTTTTGCTTTTTATTATCCAAACAGTCTTGGCTATAGACTGTTAAAATTGTGTAGAATTGTGAATAGTGGAACATACTAAAAAAAAAACGATTTTAAAATATAGATAACAGGTGAAAACATTCTCTCTTTTGAATGCTTAGCAAGGTTTAGCAAGGCTGTACATAAATAATAAAAAAGAAACATGGTGAAAAAAAGAAATGACGGGATCTCCATATTATGCACTATATTTAACTTTTAACAAAACGATATACATTTAAATTTGGACCTGTTACAGCCATTTTAATTATGAGCATTAGCAAACTTCTTACTGAGTGAATTGTTATGCAAATTAGCAATTATCTCAGCTTCTTTTTAGTGCACATCCCAGAACTTTAAAAAAAATAGCTCCTAGACGCTTTGACCTTTTGTTTTGAAGTTTTCACAAATGATTGACAATGTGTTTATCTTTAAAACGCCGTCGGGGCATTGTTTTTAGTTGAATAGTGTTACAGCAATCGTTCAGACAACTAGCCTGGGTGTTAATTTATGCATAAACTTGAAGTAGTGAAATTTGAGCTGCTGCCCTGCAAAATTGACAACTGGTAGACAGTTTTCAAGACGGCACTTTCTTCATAGTAAACAGATGTACCCATAAACCAATTTTGACAGGAAACAGAAGCATGGTTTAGAAGCTATTTTTTTTTTAAATCACTTTTGACCAAAAAAGCACATTTTTGTGCATATACCAAACTACAGTGTCCATAAAAAAAAAATACTATCAAAATTTTAAAATTCATACAATAAGCTTTCCGAAAATATACAGTTTTGTGGACAAGGGAGGTCATCTTGGTTTCCTAATTAACAAATTAAAATACCTGTCAGGTAAACTGCATCTCTACCTTAAGAGCAAGAGATAAAATACGGAGCACTCGATCATACGTTGTCCAAAATGGAAAGCGACTCATTACTGTCACGTGACTATGCGATGCCAACAATCGCTACACGCATTCACTGGATGTTTATTGCTAATCCCCCTAAGACAATAGGCGTTTCGAGACCGGTGATAGAGGGACTGTGTTTTAACCTATAATAATAATGTAGTTTGCAGGTACACTACAGGTCAAGTGTAGATTATCATCTAAAACAACATGGTTGTGTTTATAAAGTATTAAAAATGGCTGCTGTAATAGAACATTTTTGAATTTTTGCCCCCCCCCAATTTGAGCTTTTTAGAACTGTAAAGGTAAATCGAAAAAAATGTCATTGACTTTTGCAAAAATCTTTATTGTCAGTAACTTTTATACAGTATTTGTGATGCCTGAAATGCGTTCATTATAAACAGATCTTTTCTCCAATTTCATTTTCAACCACTTTGATAACTTTGAACTACTGTAAATAAAGGGTGGATGAGTCGATTCGTCAATAAAATTTTAACATTTTGTTTGGCACAATTCCAGAAGCTGTACCTACACATGAATTGGTGAAGTCACAAAATACATGCCCTTTAATGGGGGTTGTTTGCTCGGTATAAACAAATTGG